TTACCCCTCCCCCCGGGGGCGGGGTGTCCATGAGGATTTCCCCACGTAAAAAAAAAGGCGGATAAGATTACGTTTGCTACAGAAAATACACCTATTTTATGTATAAAACGTAAATAAACAAGAAAAATATGAAATACACATAGTCGAAAGTATATATATTTATACCCAATTCTTTCTTGAAACCCGTGTTAAATAGAAACTTTGCTATGAGAATGTGGCACCGCTTTCTTTTCTTAATTATTCTTAATTTCTTAATTATTCAGTACAATAGTGAATATGGTATATTAAAATCACAATACTGTCAAAGACTCAAATACTTAATAAACAATTCGATGTGTTTAGGATTCAATTTATTAAATTTCACGTTGGCCGTAGGAAGCGAACTACTGCAAACGCCGTCGGGTCGGAAGGGTTAAAATGACCCTGCATTCGTCTGTAAAACCATTCGCCTTCCGAGGGTTAATCAAATTCATACACATTTCTTTTTTAAGTTATTGAAAATAAAAGTCGACATTTCCATAACAACTCATTTCAATCAAATAAAAATAACGCAACATTGGTATACGTATATTTGCATTGCAAAAAGTATAAAAATAAATCAGTTCGAATTTAAATAAAAAAAAAATCTATAATTAAAAGTTTCCTTTTCCTGCTTTGGTTTTAACAAATGTAAGTTTTTTAAATGTGCCCCCAATGCGGTTAATAGTAATCGCGAAACATGAAAAGTCAATGTTAGAATGCATAACATTTATTTTTATTGAAACGTGGACCAATGGTCGCAACGTGCGCGTTGTTTCTTCAGTGGTTTTCGAAAGAGCTCGACTCACTTTCGTTTTAAGTGCTTTAAGTATTTTAATGCCACGTCTGCGACAGTAGAGCGAATACTAAAACATTTAATGCTCTCGTTGCAAGCACCGTACAACATTACTATAGCTGGAACACATACTTAATGAACGCTACTGTGCGTGTGATGTGTTTGCTGTTTCAAAGCATGTCGTAAACCAGGGGTTCCCAAAGTGCGGCCCGCAAACCCTAGAAATGCGGCCCGCGATGGCAGATCAGCCGCCATCTTGAATTTACAGAGATAATTTACATTCTTACGAAAAAATGAATAAATTTCATCATATTATAATTAAAAATTGTTCGGTTAAAAAAATACTAAATCTTATATCTAATATATCTTCAGATGCGTAGTCGGAAAAGTAATCATCTGTTAAGGGGTCAATCAAATCTCGCATTGTTATTGTTGGATTATTAGGAGAAATGAGTATGTGTCTGTGTAATAGTAACAGCAAAAATGATCAACATACTGAGACAGATTAAAATAACATAGTAACCATCTGTTTAGTATGGGTGACGCAGATATGTTTCTTTTTCTCAGCGTCTTGTCGATGTTTCTTTTATTAATTGCGTAGCGACGTGCCTTCCTCGCGTATCAAAATAAAGAAGATTTATAATTCAAATAATATCTTTTAATTTATTACCATAAATTCTAACAATGGCCCGCCAAATATTTTGGAATTTACAATTTGGCCCACCTAGGCAGAACTTTGGGAACCCCTGCTGTAAACGATACTTCAGATGCTTACAAAGTGTCGCTGCTTTCAACAGTTTTACGTACACTGGTTGTTACACAGTATGTCCGTTTTAAGTGTCTATACGTAATTATTTCTGTAAGTATCAGAAATGCGAAAAAATGTACGAGGGTAGCAAGTAAACTTTGAAAGTTAATAACTCAACAACGGCTTATGAAAAAGTACACGTGTAGGTAGTGCTTTCAATACGCCTCAGTATGAGCTACAAGAATATGCAATAAAAAATATAGGGTTGCATTTAAAAATTCAAACGTGACCTTGGCAAGACTCTCCAAGTTTATCTCATGGTCAAACAATTATCATCGTAATATGCCCCCCTCGATAGCATGCAACTTTCATCTGAAACATTTTTTCGTATTTCTGATATTTACAGAAATAATTAAATAATTAACACGGACATACTGTATAGTAATTATTATATGTACATTGCGTTAAGAATTGAATAAATTTGCTTTGAAGTTATTTCTCTCTGTTCTATTCATTTTTTGAAAACATTACTTTGATTCGCTAAAGAAAGGAAAAGATACGTTTCATTCTCGAAAAAGTACAATACTTCGATTAAACTATTTTTACTATATCTGGAGCTAATTAATACTAAATTTAAAGAAGTTTTGCTGTTTCTTTAAACAAACTTTTGGCACCCACGATAAAACTTGATTAATTTCCTTGGCAGTGGACGTGTTAAAGAAAGTTTTCCATTTTAGATGCGTTAAAATCTAACTTAATCTATCAAGACTTCTTCTTGCGTTTTTTTTCTTTTTTCATAATTTTTCTATGCTTTATCTGCGAAAACCGACTGACACCGTTTCACAAAAATCGCAAACGCGTGAGTGTCGAAGATATAACACTTCTTTAGAAACGGGGCGCGCTGGCAGTTCAGTGCGATTTAAAGCGATCAAGTTTAATCATTTGGAATAAACTAGGTACCTACGAGGAGAATTGCAAGTTCCACTCCCTAAGGTGCTTCTGTATATTGCCGTCGATGGAAAATATATTCGACCATCCGGAAGCCAACGGGATAGTACATAAAAATCACTTTCAAGAAACTCGTCTTACCTTAAAATCGATGTAGCCATTTTTATCCATGTCGAATGTACGGAAGACGTGATCGCAGAATTCCTCCGCATTGCCAGATGGAAAGAACATTTTGTACATGTCGACAAATTTTGCTGGCGTTAACCTGCCGTTCGGGCAATCTTGCTGTAACGTAAAGAAAAGGGAATGTCTGTGAAATTTTTTTTAACACGATTTTGTTTTGCTTACTTCTTTTATAAAAAAAGAAAACAATATAATTACACACTTTCAAGTGAAAACAGTCCCAATACACCTCGTTAGGATTTATTTACCACTGTACAATATCAGTAGAGAAGGTAGAAGATAAGCAATATTTGTGTTGTTTCATTTAGGAACGTAACATTTACTATTAGTGGCTTAAATAAGAATAATGTATTAGATGATTACAAAAGTTCATGCTTGATTTTCAGAGACGGTGGGAACCTTCCTTATCGACTACGTCACAGATTTTAGACGCATGCCTACGTTTTAGAGGCATGCTAAAGTCCGTTCAATTTAAGAGTAACCTCGTTTCGCGCATGGGACGTGCCTAAGGCCGTCCTACCCTCTGCTACGCTCTCTGTCTATGCGCATAACGGACGAAAATCGGTCCGAGAGCGAGGTTATTCTTAAATTGGACAGAGTGTACATTCCTATCGAAAGATACACCGTTTGTGTTTTATTTTCAAATAATTGTTCGTTTCATTTCATTTTATTTTCAAATGAAATGTGCCTTTGCACACGCCGTTTGCGTTTGACTTTCAAATCGGGCACGAACTTTTGCAATCTTCCAATAACTCGGTAACTGGGAAACTCAAGGGAAGAGCTGAAATCTTCGAGTTACAGAGTTTTCGACTTGTCGAAATTTTTTAGCACCGGATATTTAACAACCGAAAATTCGACATACAGAAGCTTTGCACGAAGGTTAATAATTTTGTAATTGTACTGGCTTGAAGAAAGAAAAATTCAATTTTTGAACGTGAATTATTTATTGTATAAATATATAGAGAATGCTAGGTTATTATACTTGTTATAAAGGAGTTGAAAGAAAGAAAGGAGACAATATCGAATGATTGATTTCCGACATCTTGTGGCACGTAGCTATAAACTTCGAGTTGTGGAGGCAGCGGCGATAAAAGTTCGACTTATAGAGGTAAACTTCGACTTGTAAAGGTCAGGCTATTCTAAACTTGAGTTACAGAGGTAAAGTAATGCATCTGGATATGTGGTAAATAATTCGAGTAAAAGCAAATTTTATTTCGACTTATAGAGGTTTTCACAGCGGAGCGGAAGAGAAATAGTGTTTGTAGGAGGTAACAATCTTCGCCAATCAGAGTGTAGCTATCCCTTGGATAGTCCTCCGCGGGCCGCGAACATGCCCCGCCCACCCTGAAAGTTTCCAGTTGGCAGGGCGGAGCAATGTCGCGGTGGTGGGGGGAGTGAGGCCCAAGGGAGGCGTGTCCTTAACGGTACTTGAGCGGCTCGGGTGACTCGAGAGGTTTTATGACATGTCAATTGCTATTGAATGGGCCTGTTGGAATAGAGGAAAGCCTGGGCACGACAGAGCTGGCCTCCTGGCCGGGATAAGCTCATTAAGACACTCCATGCTATTGAATGGTCATGAATGGACACCAGGAACCCCTTTATGTCTCTGCGTACATAAAACGCTTCCTGGGTCTCGTCGCCAATTTGAAAGAAAATTTAATTAAAAGTTAAAAAGAAGGCGCATTTCAAAATAGTATAGACAGACGTCCATGTCATAAACCCAATTTTTAACAGTTTCTACTGTTTGTATGTTTGAAATGAAGATGGTAAAGCACAGATGTGGAGAGGTTAGTGGGTTGTGTTAGGGTTGGTGTGGTAAAAAATTGGCAATCAAGGGAACCTTTCTCTATCGGTTTTCTCAAGGTTTATGACAAGCTGAGAATTTTAATTTCCGGTGCTTGCCTGCTATAATCTATTTGATTGTCAAATGTTCCATATTTCTCTTTTATGCTTTAACAGCACTAATAAAGTAATCTACACATATAAATTTTATCTACTTTTGGTTTAACACTTCTTTTGTTTCATATAAACTAGGAATTGTATTTTTTACAATAGTTTTTTATTTCGTAGGAAATTCATCACGTTGTAAAATCTTTGTATATTCGAAGTATTAACGGTAATGAATGAAATAAATATTTGTCTCTATTTCCTTGTACGGAATTCAAGGTATAAAAATGTTTAAAAAAAGAAAGAAAAATATATTGTACCAAAGTCCTCCAAAGCAATTTTTATTTCATCTGACTATATTTGTAATCGTAATTTATTCTCTTCTGTAAACAAGATACTCAAAAATATGACAACTTTATCGAGGGAATACTAAGTTGGCCTTGCACAAATCGAATCTTTCACACTTGCCACTTCTATTCATTTATTAGGTTAACCTTTAACAGACCTTTATACGATGTCATTTGGCTTGAACTTTTAACAAAAAGTTGTCTCTATTGTTGTTTCATCGATATTATTACTGGATCGTTTGGAAAGCTGGACATACGGTCGTCACGATTTCTGACACACTTCCTGTAGTCTGACAAAGAAAATGTGCTCGAGCACTGATTAGTTTCTGTTTAAAATATTTTCTTTCGTCACACTA